GCAACAAAAGATATATCCAGGGTGCTGAATCCATCTATCATGTTCAAACATCCGACTCATTTGATAACTCCTTCTGAGATCTTAATGTCAGCTTCATCTTCTGAAACTACCAATATTATTGAGGGCAAGGATGAGGAAGAGGCAAATATTCAAGATGTGGTCGTCAATAGTGATGTGGCTAATGCTGAAGTGGAGGTTAAAGAAGTGGGTGAAACGAGAGCTGCTCATGGTGATGAATTTGGTTCCTATGGAGAAACTCAAAACCATGTTCCAGAAAACAGAGAAAAGCTGTTTTGCTCCCAGGCTTCAGATCTTGGAATCAAGATGGCCAGAGAGTCTTCTGCAATATCAGCAGAAAATCATTTTGTGGAAGAGGTGCAGGAAGTTGATGGTGCTGGCTTAACAGCCCAACTTTCCCGACCTTCTGTTAGTGGTGAGTCAGAAGCCCAGGACTCGACAAAAGATGTTAATGGAAAGGTTTCAGGGTCAGCTGTGACTACAATATTTGCACAATCTGGAACACCAAGCGCCAAGGGGAAAAAGCAGACAGGAAGCAATTCTCAAGTGCCAGATCATTCTTCAAGTGTTCCTAACTCAGCTGGTTCTTTCCGTGAACCTGGTAGGAATTCAGCTCTCACCTCTGCACAAGCTGATTCTTCTCAAATTGCAACTATGCAGAGTACGCTTAATCAGGTAATTGCTCACGGTTGAGATGCTGTAAAATCCCTTTTAGTACGTGTTAAATTGTGCAATTTTTTTCTGCATTTTAATTGCTCAATATGCATAAGAGTGTCATTCAAGAATAACTAACATGAGCGTATTGTGAAGGGATTGTTTGATCACTTTCTGGCACTGCATAAATGGTTTTGTTTTTCACACTAATTATACATTTTTTATGTGCAGTAATTATATCCTGTATATTACCTTTTTAATCTTGATTGCTTCAATATTTTCTGTTCACTATTAATAAATTTTTATGTATGGCGATTGTGCAAGCCTTTGATTTAATGTAAAATTGGATGTCGGAGTTCAACCTTTTACCTACGCATGCCAAATCTTTCTGAAGTTATGATCTGTTGTTCAGCTATTGGTCTTCGCTGTCATTCTTGGTTGAGAATCTTGGAACATGTTTCATGTTTGTATTTATCTTCTCATACTAGTAACACTATGTTAGTATGTTTGCAAAGAAATGAAGGTTTAAGTTTTTGTATCTCATAGGATAAGCCATCATAAATATGACATGCACTTGCAATATGTTCCAGTCGCGGTCAACTTATCAACATAGTATTTCTTTTTTGTGCAGCTAATGACCATGCAAAAGGAACTGCAGAAGCAGATGTTGAGCGTGGTGACCCTTCCTGTAACAAAAGAAGGTAGAAGACTGGAGGCATCTCTAGGAAGGGGGATTGAGAAGGCTGTCAAGGCCAGCACTGATGCATTGTGGGCTCGTTTCCAAGAGGAGAATGGGAAAAATGAGAAATTATCGCGAGACCGCTCACAACAAATAACTAATTTAATCACTAACTTAATTAACAAGGACTTGACCCCTGTAGTAGAAAAAGCAGTGAAGAGGGAATTGGCTGCAGTTGGACCAGCCATTGTTCGCACCATCTCTCCCAGTATTGAGAAAACTATTTCTTCAACTATTACAGAGTCCTTCCAGGTTTGAACTCTGAATCTCTGGTTCTTCTAAAAGTAATCTGGTTTATTGGCATCTAATTGATACTTTGTGCTGCAGAGAGGAGTCAGTGACAAGGCAGTGAATATGCTGGACAGGTCAGTTAATACAAGACTTGAAGCTACAGTTGGTAGGCAAATCCAAGCACAATTTCAAACTTCTGGCAAGATAGCTCTCCAGGTCACAAGTTCAGCTTGGCTCAGTTTAATTAAATTATTGAATCAGATCTGGACTGAATAAAATATCATTGCTCAAATAGGTTGTTTATCTTTTGATGTGAGTTTAGAGAAATATCTGATCTTATCAGTCTGTTCATTTAGGATGCTTTGAAGTCCGGTGTAGAAGCTTCAGTGTTCCCTGCCTTTGAGAAGTCATGCAAAGCTATTTTTGAGCAAGTAGACGCTACCTTTCAGAAAGGAATGGCTGAACATTCAACTGCAGCTCTGCAGCATTTTGAATCTGCACATTCTCCCTTGGCTCTAGCTTTAAGGGTGTGTATTATCATGCTATGCTATACTATTCATATAGAACCACTGACCTTTCTTTTCCCCTTCTTACCTCTGAGGTACATAAATCAAAATCTTTGGTTCTTTCAGGATTCAATTACTTCTACTTCGTCACTGGCCCAAACTTTAAGTGGAGAATTGGCAGATGTTCAGCGTAAACTTATAAGTCTTGCAGCTGCAGGAGGAAACCCAAGTGTTGTACATCCCTTGATTCCCCAACTGAGCAATGGACCTTTGCATGTTCTCCGTGATAAGGTTCTCTGCTTTCTCTTGTTCGTTATTTACAAGTAACAATTGAAGCTGAATGCTGAAAGACTGAAAAGTCGTATTCAGCTGCCTAATAACATTTGTCATTAAGATTTTTGGTTGGCTATCCTAATATTAATTACTCTATATTCATGCTTCAGGTTGAATCATCTTTAGACCCCGCAAAAGAACTATCCAGATTGATATCTGAGCGCAAATATGAAGAAGCTTTCATTGTTGCCCTACAAAGAAGTGATGTGTCTATTGTGTCTTGGCTATGTTCACAGGTATGCTATAGTATGCTTTAGATTCTTTTGTCGGTCCTTGTACTCGAGTATTAGTTCCTAATGGGTCTCTTAGCCATAAGTTATTTAAATGATCTATACTAGTTTTTCTCTGTATACTTTCCATCTGTATGTGCTGGAGATTATTATGAGAAGTGAACTTGGCTGAAATACTCATTACTGCATATTAAGTCATGTATGATTTTTCTTCCTTGTATTTTCCAGGTTGATCTACACGGGATTCTGGCTACGGTGCCTCTCCCTTTGAGCCAAGGAGTATTGCTCTCTCTTCTGCAGCAGTTGGCCGTTGATATCAACAATGACACACACCGTAAACTTGCATGGCTAACAGATGTGGCTGCCGCCATAAACCCAACAGATCCAGTGATCACAATGCATGCACAACCCATCTTTGATCAAGTCTATCAGAGACTGCACCATCAACGTAACTCACCAACAATCACCGGCGCTGAACTTTCAAGTATCCGTCTTCTCATGCATGTCATCAACTCCATGATGATGACCTGTAAACCTCAGTGACATGGACTTCTAATACGGTAGGAAACTGTACATATTTTTTTTCATAACATTGTCGGTTTTATCTATTTTTTTGGTTTTCTACTAAACAGATTAGCTTCCTCTGGTCGAAAGTAATTCGCTATCATGAAAATTTTTCCATTCATGCTTTTGATATTATATTTTAATGACGTTTCTTTTGGGTGTTCTGTTCATAATCTAATGAATGTCACAACAGTTTCAGTGGCATTTCCCTTTCAATTCCAAGCAAATCCAAGTTGTATCTTGGATGTAGGAAAACTTTTATGTTGTACACTCAACCGTGTTTAGTGTTGACATGAATGCACATGCAAAGCCTAGATTTTGTGAAAAGAAACTTGTTACTACACAACATGTACATAGAAGTCAGCTTCCTCTTTTAATGCAATGCAAATGTCCGTACTCTCATATTGCAAGACAGCCAATCTGGGTATTAATTCTTGCCCAAGTTATTAGAAATCTTTCTTACACGAGATCTGTTGTATGAAATACGTTGTTCATAGAAAGTAATGGATCTACCCTAAAAAGTAATGAAGGCAGCAGGTGGGGTAGATCCAATGGTGCAAAGTTTAGGGTAAGGTTACCCCATCTAGTAACATAGTATAACCCTTCTAGGACTTTCAAAATTTTAGATTATCAATAACATCCCACATAACTTCCAAAATAAGAAATTCAACCCATAGTCAAACCAGTGTTGCAGTTAGCAATTGCCAATTTCAATTTCATCAATCTTCTTGGATAAATCTTTCTTGTAAGTTATATACTTCTTGAGTTTGATATAACAGCAAATTGCCCTTTCATGGTTGTGAGGGTCTAAATGATAATTATATCAATTTAAATTACAAATTTGAGGGTATAATAGAGCTAAAAAGTAATCCAAAAGTCCTAAAGCAACTTGCATAGTTAACCACTTAGCTTGCGCTCGGACGGATGACAAGATCTTAGGTTACTCAAAGATCTTATGTTCGAGTATTTTTGAGTTTGTAAAATGTTTAATTGACTTCGGGAATTAGTTGAGGTGCACAAGCTAACCGAACATCTTAGTCACCAAAAATAAAAACATCTACACTTGCAAAAGCACTTTTACTAGAATCACTTCTCTCTATGGAACAAGCTTCCTTACCAAGTACTTATCAAACAAAAAACGCACTTCAAAAAAAGAGCTTTTCATGCCACCAAGTTAGATATTTTTATTTTGTAGTGCACCAGACCAAAATGCCAAGAAAGTACCAATAAATTAAAAGAAGCCAAACAACTACCAATATTTAGCATAAAAATAGGGCAAAAAAAGTCACTTTAATGCCAAAAATTATGTGTATTTACTCAATTATATTTACATAACGTTATTATATCAATTTAAATTACAAATTTGATGTTATAATAGAGCTAAAAATAACCATAAGTCCTAAAGCATGCACACTTAACCAGTTTAATTTACGGGATTAGTTAAGTTAAGGTGCACAAACTAACTGAACATCCCAATCACCAAAAATAAAAACATTTACACTTGCAAAAGCACTTTTACTAGAATCACTTCTCTCTGTGGAACAAGCTTCCCCACCATGTATTTATCAAACAACAAAAACACTTTCAAAAAAAGTGCTTTCCATGTCCACTAAGTTAGATACTTTTATTTTGTAGAGCACCAAACCAAAATGCCAAGAAAGTAACAATAAATTAAAATGAGCCAAACAACTACCAATGTATAGCATAAAAATAGGGCGAAAAAAGTCACTTTAATGCCGGAAATGATGTATATTTACTCAATTATATGTACATAATGTTATTTACATCGGCACCCCCAACATTGCAAAAATAACATTTGAACCCCTCAAATTAAGAAAAACAATGTGGGGTCCCCCAAATGAAAAAAAAAAAAAAAAAAAATCCGGCTACCAACACTGGTCCGTTTCCCATCTCCGGGTCGGGTAAAATCCACCACGACCCGAAAAACCAAACGGCGCCGTTTGTAACCTCCTCCTATTTCTCCCCGCCAACGACAGATCATAAACCGCCCTCGCTGCCGGATCCGATAGCGTGGCATAAGCGTTATGGATCTCGATGAAATCTCGGCCATCTGATGTGCGTTCCCCTGATAAATCGGGATGGTAAACTTTCGCCAGGTTGCGATACGCCATCTTGATCTCTGTCAAGGAGGCCGTGGGGTGAACTCTCAGAACCTCGTACAAGCTTCCTCCGAGCGTGCCCACGGCAGTAGACTCCTCAGCCGCATACGAGACGGCAGACGGACAGGGGTTTCGCTTGTTTCGGCCGGAATACCGGGTGGAATTTGGGGAAAGGACGATTTGGGGAGGGGATTGGGGTGACTTTGGGGAAAGGGCGGTTTTGGGCGGGGATTGGGGCGAAAAAAAGTGGGGTTGAATAGTGGGTATGTTTAAAGTGGCGTACATAATTGAGTCTCAGAAAAATATTTGTGTTAAGTGTGTGTGAAAAAGGAAGAAGAAGAAGTGTGCATATATATAGAGTATACGTACAGGTCAAATGGCGAAACGAAAATGGAAAACCGGTGCCTTTTGCGTTGTCGTTTTGACAAAAATCAGCGGATGGAGCCTGTTGTTTTCATTTTGAGAATCTTTAGCCTTTCTCAAGCTGGCTGCGGCTTCATTCTTAGGCTTAGCTAATAGCTATGGATTTATTGTTATAATTTTTTTCTAGGGATGGAATATTAATGAAAATATCAAAATATATTTTTTTTTTGCAAATAATTAAAAAAATTATTTTGTTGTTAAATTAATAATAAATTTAATATTTTAAAAGTGAAAATATTTTCAAAATTTAAGAATATTTTTTCTAAAATACTTATCTTAGATAACCTACTTAAATCTTGAGAGTTAAAAAGATTTGTATCTGAAACTATACGCTTTAACAATATGTATCAATGCTCATTTTATCACTTGAATTATCCAAGGATAGATGATCAATAAAACATATTCACTCATAATTTGTTTCATATATCTATTTCAAGTTAAACGTTTTTTTTGTTGATTATGTAATTTAGAAATTTAGAAATTTATTGCTATTTAATGTATTTATTGTGTTTATTTTTTTTTTACTTTTAAAAAATTTATTGTATTCATTTTTTTAAACAAATAATACATAGTATAATATCTATAAAAAGCATTTTAATTTTTTTAAATTATTTTAATTTTTATTAATATTAATTTTAGGTAATTTCTATTATTTAGTATAGGCTGGCGGCTGAGACGCCAAGCGGCTTATAACTTGAAGCCGACACAAAAGCCAAAAGCCAAATTCCTTCACACGTACCAACGTTTCTAGAAGCTAAGAGCTGCTTAGGACTATCTACACCCTCCGATTCGCTTACTGAAATCCAATATTCGACATCCAACGGTGCACAACACTGAAAGCGACACATCCAAAGATCCAAGATTAGCGTGGGCCACAATTCCAATGCGCGTTTAAGACCATCCAATGGTTGTAGTTACTTTGGCACGTGCAGGAGCTTCTGGAAGCCTTTAATTTTTTCCACGAATAAATCTTCCTTTTTTTTTTTCTCTCACTATTATTGTATGAATGTCCCTTTCTTCCCGAAAAAAAAAAAAGAGCTTCTAGAAACCAAACCTTTTGTAGAGGAATTGTTTAATTATAATGTAGAAAAATAAAATAAAATAATATTTAAATATTAATTAAACAATTATCAGTTATCTTTCTTACAATAGTTTAATAAGAATTTGTTATAATAGTGGGTGTGATGGCGAAAGAGACCTTAGCAAACATCTTCTAGAAGAAAAACAAAAATAACAAGTCACGACGACAAAGTAATACGAAAGTTTTACTTGGTCGGTCGGTAACATTATCAAATCGGTAAAATATAGTACCCCTCAAGTTAATATAACCTTATGTATATTAAACTGTAAATCAAATTTTCAAACGTTAGGATAATGATATTTTCTTATCATAGAATATTATAAATTTTATCTCACAATAATTCCCGTGCATTAGAAAGTTAGATCTAAGGTTGAAAAAATCATGACGTTCGTAAAAAAAAAAAAAAAAAAAAAAAAGGACTATATTAACATAACCCTTTTTGAGGTTTGATTTAATAACCAAAATTTCTCTGAGATTTCTGAAACAACAAAAATATTTATATCATTAAGTTTTAGATATTAAAATAAATGACAGAAGGGTTATTAGGTAAGAACTCATAAATTTATAATAATGTACGGTTTAACAACTCACTAATAATTCACGGATAGTATGGGGTGCGTTTGGTTTAGTATTTTGGATAGAATTTTAGGGATAGTATTGTGTTATTAGATATGGGAGTATTACGAGGTAAATTTTAAAAATTTGTAAAAAAGCCCTTAGGTTTACTAATTTAACTAAAGACCCTAACATATAAAATGACAAAAACACCCCCTCCACCTGCAGTGTCAGATTCCGGCCACCACCCCCGGAATCTGGCCAGAAAATTTCGTTACGGCACAGACTAGTCGGATCTGTGCCGTAACACGTCGTTATGGCATTTTCCGGCCAGATCCATGGTGGATCTGGCCAGAAAATGCCAGATCTACGGTCTGTTATGGCCGTCGACGGCCGGAAAAGGCCAAACGAGGGCCATCTTTGGCCGTCGTTGACAGCCAGATCTGGCCTTTTCCGGCCAGATCCGTGGTGGATCTGGCCGGAAAAGGCCACAGCGGTGAACTTCCGGCCATTTCTAGTCGGAAGTTAGGCCGTTGTACAGATTCCGGTTATCACCGACGGTGGTTGCTGGAATCTGACAAGTTGGGTTTATGGGGGTATTTTTATTAATTTTTAAACTTTTTTTCAGGGGGTATTTAGTGAAATTAATAACCTTATGGGATTAAAATGTAATTAAAAAAATAGGGTAATATTTCTAGAATATTGTACCAAACATTATTTGGAGAATAGGATCCAGAATAGGGATAAAAATATTAAACCAAACATGCAGATGAAGATTTTTGTTATTTAATTAGTCCTTAATGCAATGCCTTAACTCTATAGTTTCTATGCTTTAAAAGTATTTCATTGAATCAAATTCATTCCATACTTTAATATATTGTATATTATATGATTTTGGGTGGGCATTTATGTAAGATGTTTTGTGAATGTGACCCCCATTAAAGAAAAGTAAACATTATATTATTTTATAAAAATATTATTAGTGGAAGACTTGGCCGAACACAAACTCCTCCTTTTCAATTAAAAAAAAAAAAACACATGAAACTTGATGTGTACATTAATGGATGTAGACATTAAACATTTGGGTTTCAAATTCAATTTTAATTGGGCAAAAAACCAATTTAATAAGTAAATAATTTTTGTTAAAGTCAGAATTGGAGTGCATGGTTTGTCTTAACATGAATTGAGAGAGGTGGTGTCTCTTCTAAGATTCAAAAACCAATTTAATGGATCAAAGAAAAGTAAACAACATAATCACCACCACAGAAACAATTTGACCATTATAATGAATATTATCATATTATCTCTAGGAAGAATTTTGGTTCCATGGCTAACTAGAGAGAAAGGGGATAAGGACATAAACGTTATCTCTAGTAAGAATTTCGAGATTTGTTCGAGGAGTCATGTTAAGCTAATTGGATATATATGCAATAAAATACTTTTGAGGATCATTTTCGATTATTTACATATTTTGAGATTTGTTCGAGGATCATACGAGAAACAAAATGATCCTCAAATCTTTGTTACTATTAATAAATGAGTAATGTCAAGTCCATAATCTAATCTCACAACTTTCTATTACAATCGTCGACGTGACAGTTTATCATTGGTCAGCACACAAAATGGGTTTTGTCTGCTTGTATGGGTCCTACATACCCACATGTGAGCTAACAATGACGAGTTGTCACATTGGGGATTGTGAGATTGGGTTGTAGACTTGGCATGGTGATGGTCCAAAGTGATAGTCATACGGGATAAATACAACTACTAACTTGGCGATATGAGACAAAGACAACTTATAACAGCCGCAGAACTCACTTCCAAAAGTTAGCTCAAGGGAGTAAGAAGTCCAACCACATGTATACACCATAAAAGCCTTCTAACTTGACAATATGAGACAAATATAACTTCTAACAATTCTCAACTCATTTAAGTAACTAAAAATGTGTAAAATGCTCTCTTCATAAAATCTTAGTGCTTGACTTGCTTTAATTTAAGAATTCTTCCTCCACGAATTAAAAGCTTTAAAGATATGAAGTGATGATAATGCATAGCTAATTATTACAAGATATTTTTCTCTTTTAGATGATTAATTCTTCTTTTATTTTGATCAAGTCTTACTTGGCATGGTGATGGTCCAAAGTTATAGGACAAATACAACTACTAACTTGGCGATGTGAGACAAAGACAATTTATAACAATCGTAGAACTCACTTCCAAAAGTTAGCTCAAGGGAGAAAGAAGTTCAACCACATATATACATCATAGAAGCCTTCCAACTTAACGATACGAGACAAATACAACTTCTAACAATTCTTGACTCATTTAAGTAATTAAAAATGTGCAAAACGCTCTCTTTATAAAATCTTAGTGCTTGACTTGCTTTAATTTGTGGATGTACTTTTTAATTTGTCTGGTTAAAGGAAGACTCACTTTCTTGTAGGTAATAATTTTCGTTTTGATAAAGATAAAAAATAATCCATTTGCAATCACTAGAAATCATACTTTTCATGTTCATGCAATCGAACTTCAAATATTTTCATGTTGTTTTGTCCCCTAATTCCTCTAGAAACACTAACTTTAAATATTCTCGTGAATAGGGTCCCAAGTAATGAGAAACATGGAAAAAGTAGGTTCGATTACGTCTATTCCTAACTCTAAATGGAATATAAGGACGTTAGAATTCATATGGAAACATAGTATTTATTTAGATACGCTTAAATGACCCCTTCTCATAAATACTATGTATATACACATCAGTTATTGTGATACTCCTAGTTAGTGAATACAAGTACGACAAAAAAGGGTACGGGTATAATTCGGATACGAGAATAATTCGCAAATAATATGGATATGCTGATAACATATGGAAATTTACAGACTAGGGTGATACTTAATGTAGTATCAAATGAGTAATCTCAGGTCCATAATTCAATCTCACAACCTTCTCTTACAACTTTCAACGTGATAGCTCGTCATTGGTCAACATATAAAATGGGTCTTATCTACTTGTATGGGTCTTACATACCCACTTGCGAGCTAACTAGTGACGAGTTGTCATTTTGGGGATTGTGAGAAAAGGTTGCGAGATTAGGTTGTAGACTTAGCATTATTGTTAATAAATAGTTGAATTCTTCCCACTTATATATGAAGAATTCCTCTCCATTAATTAAAAGGTTTAAAGATATGAAGAGATGATAATGCATAGCTAATTATTACAAGATATAATTTTTCTCTTTTAGATGATTAATTCTTCTTTTATTTTGATCAAGCCTAAC